GATGATGTTTGTACTGAAAATAGTAACATCGAAATGACAAGTATTTGTGTAAATATTGATTTGTACGTAGCTCGTTAATATCAATGCTAATTTCGTCTAGTCACAATAAAGTGATAAACCCCTATTGAAGACTTTGTCAGAACGAGGTAAATCATTAATCGAAAGGAAAATAAAGAAAACATTACAATTTTGATAGTTTAATAGATTGTTTGTTCAACTGCTTTTTTTGTGCCTTTTATATTAAGAGGAAACACCTCAAAACATATGAAGTCAATTGCTGCATTAGAAAGAATTCTATTAACTTGAAAGTAAACAGAAACCACTGGAGAATGTTCTCAGACAATGTCCTACAGAACATGACAAATAATAGCATCGACACAGATTTCATCATCATCTTATATCACATTGTTTTCTCTCTAGCATTCTCAAACACCAACAGCTCTTCGAACGAGTTATGTAGCACCTGCTCAGAACTTGGACTTCTTCCAAGATATCATTCAAGAAAGTTTTCGCGGTATTGATGCATCCATTGCCGGCCATGTTTCGAATGCATCACAGTATACCAAACAAACTGCTCGTCATCCACCAGTAACTATATCACAAATGAAACCATTGGATACTGACAGCGATGTTGAAATTAAATCGAATTCATCGTTTTGGTCGGATGAAGAAGAAGATCAACTATTCGATGATGATCGACGTCAAACGATTCCGCATCAGAAACAATTAGCACGATATCTATCAACGGTCAATCGCTCACTACTCGATCGGCCAAGTGATCTGATTGCTGATTTTTATATTTCGAAATTGAATCGTGGTATGCAAGATGGCGTACGAAATGTAGAAAGTATTGCACGTGATAAAGCACTGATGAGACAAAATCATAATCGAGAATTTCGAGATGAGCCAACTAATAAACTGGGTCGAAGTTTATCAGCTGAACATTTGTATCAAGTTCGAAAAGAACATTTGCGTTATAAACAACCGTTCAACACACCAACGTCGTTTACAGTGGAAGATGTGGCTGATATTTACAAACCATTTGTTTTGGAAAATTACAAACGAAAGATTGCTATTGAATTAGAACGACGTCGAAGAGAAAGACAAGGACAATTAATGGCTGGTTTGTACTAACGGGCGAATTAGTTTGCATTTCAATTTGACATGTTCATTTTAGGTATTGGTGCTTCACCTATGTATACATCCGATGCAGATATGGGTAGTGTATTAAAGTCCTCGCAACCACCCATCATCGAATTGCCAATCAATGCCATCGCTGATCGCGTCTACCGTCCATCGAATTTAACGCAAGCTCGTGTTGTTCGTACGAATGAACAAGGAGTTTCTATATACGCAGACGGTTCAAATAACGACGTGATTGTTGTTCGACCACCGATTGTACGAACAACCGACGTTGTCATGGGTCGAGCACATAGAACTCTGACTGATGATGGTAACACCGATGTTGTACATCACATCGGTATTGCTTCACCGCCAACGTCATTTTCACTTGTTAAACGACCAACTACACAAATACACATGTCTACTACAAGCACATCAGATCAATATGAAACACCGCGTGTAATTACAGTCGCTCCTCCGGATTTTCCACAACGTATTCAGACTCATATTCGAACTGAGCGCGCTGATGACAATGTAGTTCAGCCGCATACAAGTGAGCTCATCGATGGTCCATTAACTTCTTCTCAGCAAGTGCTGTATCAAAATGGCGAATACGATCCAAGTCTACGACGACCCGTTCAGGTAAAGAATAGTTTGATCATAAATAGTATTTACTGACTTCGAACTGAGATCGTTGACATAAAATATATCTTTATTCCACTTTAGATAATTACTTCAAGTGAAGTTACAATCACGTCAACACCTCGTCCACAAGCCAAGATTTATACACCATCTCCACCACGAGAACCTATACGCATATGTCAAGCTGATCGCATCGAGACTGCATCTGGAAATTATGATCTATCTATGGCTAAAGTGCAACCAATTCTAACATTAAACCAGGGTGAAATCCGTGAACTAAATCTGTTGGCACAACAAGCACAACGTTTACAGATACCACTACAGGATTACGAACATGCCATGATTATGATCACACCTGATCAACCACAATATCAACATGATATTGGCCGACAACCACTTCTATTAGCTGCTGCTAATATTGGTCAATTACACGATGAAACACAGGAACAAGTGACTAACCATATTGAACCAGATATTCGACCACAAAATACGCAATTGATCACTCCTATCCCTGAACATATGGCTAAAGTTGAACAAGATATTGCCGTTTTTGAAAATATCTCATCAACAAACATTCAAACACCTTCTCGAAATCGATTGAACGAGGTTCCGTCAGACAGCGGTATTGTCTCCTTAAATACCTCCCAAGCGAGTGAACAACCTATCGTATTAAACGCATCTCGTATTCGTCTGTTAGAAACTTCCGAAGAACATCGATTAGAACAATTACGCGAAGATGATTATTATCAACGACGTATACGTGCATTAGATCTTCTTCGTCAAGTTGAAACAGACCCAAATATGAACATTCAGCCTATTTATCATACTCCAAGTCAAATTTTTGAACACATAACACCTATCCCGGCGTCCAATATTATTACAGCACAAACACGTATTACTGACACACACCGAATCAATCGAATTGAAACATTAGAACATACTGATAAACCTGTTATTTACGAAACAATCGACCAAGAAATTGTTCAGAGAATTCCTCCACAACAATATGTGACAAGTACAGATGTTCGACAAGATAATCGGACAAGTAATCGAGCTGAAAAACATCAAGTTAAATGGGAAGAACCAAGGCCAGCCAAAGAGCATCGTTCACAACAAAATCAATTGACTGACACCACATACGAACATACCAGTCCATTTACTTCTGATCCATATTCCGCACGACACAATCTACATTCAACAGAAGAACCTTCTCAACTTTTATCAACATCGAAACACACCCAAGACAATATTGTCTATAATTATGGTGAGTAAATTCAAGTATTTAGAGTGTTTTTCGTTTCACTATGAATCATGAATCATTAGAAGTGCCAATTATTGAAGTATCTATCACTATACCAGCTTCATTTTTATGTGAGTTACGCTGCTTTACTATAGCTCTGATTGTTTGATATTGCCCAAAAAGAAAAAAAACTGTCGATTTTCATCTCGTTTCAATTAAATATGCTTATACAGATTTCATTCGTGTTTTTATTAGGTGAAAAAAATGAAGTTCCATTGTCTCGAACATCATCGTTTAGTTCGGATCAAAATTTAAAACGTCCAACAACCGATTCAGCACGTATTGAATACGATCGTCGTAGTTTATCATCACTCGATGATATAACTCAACCAGTATCCTACCATCCACCAACACGAACACAGCACGATCAACATTTTATTACTCAGGTAAATACACTTCATCAAATAGCCTTTAAAAACAGGCACCTTCTTCCAATCAAAGCAATCTATTGACTAAAAATATAACATTTCGTTTCTATTTTCAAAGGATATGGACGTAGAACCAATGGCTTTACGTGAAGAAACTGCCATTGAAAACGAAGTTTCTTACGAAGGTTCGCTTGGTCGTGCATCATTACGTGGTCCTATCCAATCATTGAATGCCCCGAGAACGGTAAGTGTAACACAAGTGATTCTTAGAAAGCTGCTCGATGAGGTGTTGGATAATTATGACACACTTACATATGCATAGTAAAAGAAAAAAAAACATAGCATATGGTAAAAGGTCTCACAAACGGGAAAATAATATTATTTCTTTCTTGAATATTGTTTTCACATTGAATCTTGCAGCTTCATTTGCTTGCTTTTCATGTTGTATCCACACACTCGTTCAGTACGAGCTCATGTGCTTTGTTTTTTTTTGTTATTCTTTCCTCCCATGATTTTCACATATTCACCAAATCCAAAACACATGCATCCTATATATATCCTTCTAGCTTGCTGAGACAAATATCCCGGCTTTGCTGCTCGAAGAGCTGACTACTGCTATTTCAGCTGTTGAAGAACAGCATGCTACACAAATAATGAATAGTGGTTACGATCCAGAGACGTTCGCAAGAATTGAACAAGGCAATCGAATTTCCACTGTTGTCTACGATACAGATTGGAAAGATGAACAAACCAAGGCACTCACCACTGAAATGCGACCCAACTCAGCTATGGCGCAAGAAAAACGGCCATCAAACACCGAATATGAGCAGGCCAAAATTCATTCTCCCAAAGCGATTCTTGCTCGTGAACGCTTCGAACGTATGGAAAACAATAATCAGGAAACAACGGCAGATATCGAAACGCAAGTCCGTCAATCCGATCATGTGTACGAAAGCGTTCATTCGTATGATGACCTCGTTTCAGTTGAACATCATACTAATGAATCGTACGAAGATTCACTTCTAACCGAACACGCAGTAGATAATCAAGAAATCCTATGTCGTCCTCTGACTCATCATCTGCAAATGACTGATGAACACGCATCATTATTATCAGATGATTCTCTTCATACACATCACCGAGAGAAAACTAATGTAAATTTAAATGACGTAGCTTCTTTAGAAAATCCTCTTCGTTCTACTGCTTTTGTAACCCTAAGTTATCCCCATCAGAATCAAGAAATCAACCCACCATGGCAACGGATCGTAGACGAACATCTTCTCGAACAATACCAGCACGAAAATCTCCGACTTCAAACAGAAGAACCATCACCACGATATTTACCAGCGATCTTACCCCCTGCAAATGAACAGTCCTTACATGAGTCAGAGAATTATGTTAAAGCCTTGCGGCAAGCATCTCCAGTACACGAATACGTTGATATTCAAAGTACTGACCGCATACAATTGGTACCATCCCAACAAATCAATCAATCACGACCGATCTATCGCGTTCGCCAACAACAAGTTTCATCAGCGGATGAACTTGATTATTCAACAATTTCCTCAATTCATCCTGATCACATTGATCAAATTGATGCATCCGTCTCAAATCCACCGTTAGTCGACACTGTTCATATTCAATCACCACCCACTGTCGTCGACATTGAAGTTCGGGTTCGACCAACCTATTCAGACACATCATCACTGCCAGATATGGATGCATACTTAACTCGCTTTGAAGATACATTCGAACCTGAGCAACATTTACCATTGGTCGATCAAATTTCTCTCTCGTATGCGACGTCCTTTCGCTCAAATCATGATAGTACACGCCGTGCTATCGAACGTTATGAACAAGAGCATCCCTATTTCAGCCGAGCTCTGCCAACAGAATGGTTCACATCGAACATCTTTCCACACGATGAGCAACTAGTCGAACAATGGACTGTAGAGAAAAATCTCGAAACAATTCAACAGCAACAACAACGTCAGCAAGAACAGGTAGAGTTGAGAACTAATACTGAGTGTGCAAGTGTTAACCTTTCTGCTGTTACTACTGATGCTTCTTCTGTTGGTGAGAGGTTCGAAGAAGAGAAATCGACTAGTAATACTACCGATACAACAAACAGTGAACAACAAATCAATCAAATTGCATCAGCAGTTATTACGAGCCATTGTTCACCAACAAGTGATTATGAAACCGATTCACTTGACAAAGACAACGATACAACGTCTACAACTACAAGCATGGACGGCGGTCTAATCGTCGCGACTACCCCAATGCAACAAAACATACCAGATCAATCTTCAGATAGTAAATCTGTTGATGATTTAATTGATACACTAGAGAATGAACAAAAGGACAAGACAGATCTCGTCAAAGATCTCCTCTTGACACTTAGTTATGACCAACATGAAGCTAAAGATATGTACCGTGCTAAGGAACATGAAATTGTTGAACAAGACGACCATCTTCTTCCATTCAATTTCGATGATCATCAACGTGAACTATTAAATATCTTTTTCGAACCAGCTCATTTTCATTTACCATTGATCAATGAAATTTCCATCTATCAAATCACTTTTCATAATGAGCATCCATTGTTTTCTCCTTCTTCAACGCTTCCTCTCGCTATCACAGATCACGATGATCATCTCCTATCCAATGAATGCAAAACAAATGAACAAGAAATACTTTCCATTGCCGAAGTTCAGGATCAATCCGATCACGAAGAACATCTTCAAAACATCACACCCAAACATGAACACCTATCCCACATCGAACATTATCATATTCAATCATTGCATTCATTTGGTGAAAATCTTTCTGTTCATATTGATGAGCCACCGAAAATCATTGAGTATGAAGACGAACAATCAATTGGAAGTATTTTACCTGATGTCATACCATCAACTATAGCAACTCAAAGCGAGGTAAAATATGATCAATGCAGCAACACGAGACTAGAGAAGCAGGGTCGCTTCTGTATGCATGTTCATTATTTGTTCGTTCAATCAAATAAACTATACTTGTAGTCAATCAATGTATTAGGATACGAAGTTCATGATGAAATTACTTCGAACCTCTTACTATTTTTGTTGTGCATGTTAACGCTTCTTGCTTGTGTTTGCTTCTTGTTCTTTTGCACTAATCAATCACTTTGCTAACATGCTATTTGCTTTAAACTAATGCATTTGCATGCTGTAGATAATATACTTTATGGGCAGTAGTGACACTAACCATTAACTTTTAATATGTTTTTTTCTTATGAGATAGAACTGTTCGATAAAGTTTTCGAGAAGACATATCTCAATACTATATCAGTTTTATTTAATACATAGTCGTTCCTTTTATCTAATCAAACAAAAAATTCCTCTTCATAGCTTCGATAGCCTTCACATACATATGTTTAATATTAAGTAGGAATAGATATAATGTGAGGAATTCTAACGAAATAAACACGACCTAGTCACTTTTTCTTTCTTTTGATCAATCCATCGAGGATTGATCAGAAGAAGAAAAAACGCTGAAATCATGAGTTGAATGTGAGGTGTGTTAGGTAAATATAAACATATAGTAATAGACCAGTGTTTTATCACGAAATAAAACAATTAAAAGAATGCACGTCCCGATTAGTGTCCAGCTTTCATTTATTCGTTCAAACAAACACACGTGCATATAGAGGAGAAAATCTAAAGAGAAGAGAGAGAGAGAAGAAATGAAGTATCATTTCTACCCATTGAATCCGTCTAAATGCCAACATCATTATATTCATTCTTCATAACCTATGAACTGAATAAAAGAAACATACTGTTCATGCCAACGGGCAACTAACATATCTTCTCTTCGTCTTCATCATCTTGATCATCATCAACAACATCACACATTGAGAGTATGAATAAGTTGTATGTCTTATCGGTCTACAGTCGATGAGTCGAGACACAATCCGCTCTCTCCCTCTTCTTGTTATTCTTCATCTTTTTCTTCTTATTCATCATCTTTTCAAAAGAGCAGTCAGTCAGAGTCGATATGGGTGATAGTGATCTTTTTATATGTATAAAATGTATTCAACGGTCGAGTAGTCCTGTTAGTACAGTGTTGTATATATACATCGACATACATCGATAAAGGCAAAAAGAATATGCATAAGTAGTGCAAATTGAGAAGGTCATCAGCTTGTAGAACTAAGATAGGGAATCCCTACTAACACAATAGAATATTAAAAAACTTCTTCAGTTGATTTGACAATGAACTAAACTAAGTGTTACATATCAACAATTATCTTTTCTTTCTGTCTTTTATCTAGGAATATATTCAACATGAAGCAAGAGAAGTAACTATTTTGCCAACAGATCCAGCAATTGAACCAACAGAATTTTATTCATCATTTGATCGAACCGAAACTGCGCGACAAAGCAAACACAGCTATAATTTAGAACGCTTATCTGAACAGAAATATGTCGAAATCAATATAGCCACGCCTACACCATCAATGCGTAAAGGTAAAACAAACGTTTTTTCTCTTATCGGAATCGATATAAATTCGACATTTACACACGCACGTCTCTCTGATTCATCTCAAAAAAATAATACCTTTGTGTCATAGTAGTTGCGATAATAATTATTCGAAACAGCGGTATGAGGACGACAATTTATATATATTTGCGATCGACGTATACACTCAAACGAAGAAAAAAGGAATCCGAGAAAAATGTACATGTATATATATATATACATTTATATAGAATGAGTTGTTAGGATTTCAACGAAGCCGTAAATATTGCCCATCGAATACATCATTAGTATTATTAGCATTGTGCGTTTTAGAAATCAACACTTATCTGTAGGTAAAAAAAGAAGAAAGCAGTATCTTGATAGTTCGTTACTTCCTTTGTCTTCTCTTTGTGTGCATTTTTTTCTTCTTCTTTGTTTTATCAATTTCTTTCTTGTGCGAAATCAGAACGGAACAAATGTGCTGTCCTCATTTTCAGTTCGACACAAGTTTACATGACGAGTACCGACCGATTTCTTCTTCGAACAGACCTTTTCTAAGAAGTCGAAGGTAAAATATTTTCTTTCTCGCTCACCAGTGATGATGATGTTGCATAGTAAAATCTCGCTAGTCATAAAACTTGAGCGGTGTGGAAATGGCAGATCATAAAATCTATCGAATAAAACCTACTTCAACTGTACTTATTTCTTTTTCCGTCTACTTGAACTTGTCATCTCGGCATTTTTACCTTCTTTTTTGTTAAATACATCTGATCAAATCTGACTACTAGTCGTTTCATTTTGCATCTTAACCATTCAGACATCTATTGAAATAGACAAAATTTCAACCGTGTTTTTTCTTTCTCTACTTGATCATGCGTCGAGTTATTTGTTCAGAGTATATGCCATCAAAATAATCCTTAAGTATGTTGAAGTTTTGTCTACAATCAGTGGATATTGATAACAGAAAGAAAGAGAAGAGGTATTGAGTTTCTCATTCATCTTGACTACAACCACTACCACTAGACAGTACGGTAGTCCGACGAAGAGAAGGAGAAAGGATTACGTGACACGATATCATTTCTTTCATATAACATTCAAGATATTGAACATCTCGTTAAAACTAAAAAAATAATAAATATAGAATTAAATCTTTAAGTCAAATAGACAAATCGAAAGGAAAGAAGTTAGAATTGAAGGTTGCGACTACTTCTTTTTTTTTCTCTCTCACTTCTCACTTTCTCTTTCTTTATTGATTTGATTCTTTCATCATTATTGTAAGAACTCAAGGATATTCGTATTCCATTATAGGTATGTTTCGTTGAGAAGAAAAATGAAACAGCTCAAATGACGTGCGCAAAAGGCAAGGTCATGGAATGTGTATAGGATGCACCAATAGCTGAGAAAATCTCCTTGAAAAAATCTTTTAATATACACGCACATAAATCTTCATAGATGTTTTTCTTCATAGAAATGATTAGAACTGGAACATTGAGTAGATGAATGTAAAACATGGCAGAAACATTTCTTTCTTTCTATTGATCTGCTTTTCTTGTTCTATAGAATAAAATAACACGAAAATAAATACGCCTCAACTTGTGTTGACGCGCTTACTTTTGTGTCCCGATATTGACGAGAAACGACAATATTTTTTAAAAGGCCTGTCGGTAAATACAGAAGTGCCACTGAGCGATACTTGTGTAAGAAATCAAACGAACAAAGCCGCAGAGAAAGAGAAAAAGAGAACGATTGCAATGATTCGTATATTGTCATTACTTCCTCGGACGATATTTTGGATTTTGTGTGCTGAGGGTATAGGCTATGATTAGAAGAGAAAGAAGAGAAGAGAAGATGAAATTTAGAATCATTTCGATTATGACGGTTGAGAGAGAAAAGTTTTGAACTTTATCGAATATAACAATCGCTTTGTTCTCGCTTTCTCTTTATTAAATTCCACAGAAAAAGAAGAAAAAAAAAGAAAGAAAGAAAAGGTAATCAATTGTCGATAGGTATGTGGAAAATGAAAAAAATCTACTGAAGAAGATACCGCAGCGTACCCGTTCTTTACACTATAAAACAAAAGACTAAACGGTACCAACAACGATAGTCTCACTTCATCCTACACTTCGATTTTTTCTCTCCCTTCCATTTATTGAATAAATCCTGATAAGACAAGTGATTCTTCTTCTTCTTCATCATCTTTCCACTACCTATACAAATACTTCCTACTGCTTCACAAATACTGAACAACGACTAGCAGTAGTTATTATTATTCTTCATAATCAATTATTCTTTCTCGGCACACGAAATTCGAAAGGAAAAGTTCCATGTACTAAGAAGATTTGTCTTCTTGAATAATGAACATATCATCATCGTCTTCATCAATGAATAGAACAAGCGAATTCCAACCAAATGCTTCGACACCGACGGGTGCCACGCTGAGACTAACTATTGAATATCGAAGTAAGATTAACAAAGCAAAACGAATTAGTCGGCTCAGTTTTTTTTCAATTTCATATATTCGAGTGTTAAATGAACTACATCTTTACATACACATGTAATATAAAGAGTCAATTGAGTTACGAAACAAGAGCGTGGAGAAGGTTTAATAATTTCATCATCGATCATTGAAAGTTTCAAGTACTCGCTCCTCCTCCTCTTTTCTTTCTTTATTTCTCTTCTCATAGTTAACACTCAGACAATCGTTTTCTGCGGTTTCTCTTTCACTGAATCTATGTATATAATACATATGTACATAGTCTTTATATATATATATATGTATATACCGGGAGGATTGATGATCAATAATCTGAATAGAAAATATACTTGTACACATAAAAAACAGAAATGTGAGAAGGACAACACGTTGACATAAATGAAATCATAGTAAATGAGTTCTGTTGATTTTGGCGTCTTTTTTTCATTACTATGAAAGAGAAGAAAATACATAGAATTCGTTACTAATGACTTTTCCTCTTTGTGAATTTAGTTCGTCCGACACCTTCAGGTCGTTTCATAGAAGACCTTTCGATGGAGAATACCATTGATACAAGAGAAGAAAAAATTGAATATCATTACATTGAAGATCGAGATAATCTTCAATATGCGTCCACATTAACAAAAGATCATTCGGAACATTTACCACCGAAACATCTACCAGTCGAACAACATCCAAATCTGGAACGCGCACGTATATTATTAACATCAGATGCGCCAGCAAGCAATACCAATCAAGATGATGAAGTTTTAATACGTGATACAATTGTTCAACATATAAGCGAAGACGAAAAATCGACATCAAGTGAAGAAGTTGTGTTTGAAGAATGGAGCGAAGAGTTTCGTTGCCGTCGTACCGAAGTGTATGATCAGCAAACACATAAACTGTTGCGTACAACTATTGATGAAACAAGTGAACGTGTTAAAAGTGATGTTATCAAAGAGGAATACAAAGAGAAAAACGAACGCATCAAAGGACATAAAAGCTATGACGTTGTCAAAGAAGTTTATCGACGTGTACCGGCACACACAGTTGATCCAAACAAGACAACGATTGTTAGTACTGTTGATGATTCTCAAAGTCATCTTTACGAGGAAATAGCACCAGGCCCATCTTCGGTACGACCAACAACTTCATCAGCCAATGATAAAAGAATAGTTATTGGTATGTGTGCTCTTTTCGTTCGTGAATATTGACCTTTATTTTTTGATCTATAAATCTCATTTTAGAACATAAACCAGGTAACGATCAATGGACATCAGAAGATATCTACACAACCGAAATTGTTTATGATACCAAACTTGCTCGAGATATTGAATCCTCGACTCATCTCGATCGCTCCAATGTGCGATTTGATTCGAGAACTCCAACTCCAACACCACCACCACCACCATCATCAACCAATTATGATCGTGTTCGTATGGGGCAATATCCACCCATACCATCTGCAAATCAAGCGACCATATCAACAGTACCATCATCAAATTATGACCGTATATCTAGCATTGTAACAACTACTACCACACATTTACCCGAACGACGTCCTACAGAACGTGAAGAACATGTTAGTGAGGAGTATGAAGTCGAATTCGAACGTCGTCACTTAGATCGACGTTCGCCGTTCAATCAACATCAAACAACAAATATTGGTACTCGACAAGGACGCGATGAAACATCTGAGGAAGAAGTTTCTGATCCATATGTCATCACTGGTGGTAATACATATTCTGGATTAACAGCAATCGTTGACGAAGCTAGCCAACGACGAAACTCAGATTGGAGACAAAAACTCAAAGAAGTCTATACACCAACATCCGACGACGAACGATTTGACCAGGTAAAGAGAAACACAGGCAGCAAAATCATAAGTTTTGTTCTCCTGAGCATTTCATACAGAAAGAGATATTTTAACACAGAAATCTCATTTCCCCTATTCCCTATATGTCGCAGTTTGGAAAACAAATCAATGGCAGTTATGCAGCACAACGTGTTCTCATTGTTCCAACGAGTAACCAAGAACAAGTAAACCATTTGGAAAGAAAGGTACCTGCACAAGACAAAGCATCTCCCCTACTCCGTCATGTTATCAAAGAGATTCTTGTTTGTCGACCTCGAGGATCATCATCATCATCACCAGAAAAAGCACTACACCACCAAATATCACATGATCCTCTATTGTTGAATGAGATAACAGACGAGAAAGAATCAGCACTAGATGCTGATGATGTAAGTGATGAGAATACGAACAAATCCTTGCACGTTTGCATGCATGTTCAATCAAAGATGATCCTTATACTTTTTTCTCCTTTCGTTCAAATCAATTGTGTTATGTATCTATTCATCAAAGGTCAACCTTCTACATCATCATCTTCTTCTTCTCATATTCCTATGATTGATATTATTTTTATACACATTTCTTATTAATGTTCGAATAAATGAAGTTTTTTTTACATATTTCTCTTCATTTAGACTGCTCGTTCACGCGAAACAACAAAGAAAGTGATTTCAGTTGCACGTACCGATGATGAACGACCACAACCTCCAAGACGCTCATCATCATCATCGTCCATCATTGACGATCGCCGAACTCGATTTGAACAGCAACAACAATTCGATAGTTCAAGTGGTTTTAGTACCAATGTTAGTGATAAACCTACATTTGGTCGCGTAGGTGAACTCAAAACTGCATTTGAATCGTCCACAACAACAAGTACAAGAGATGATAGTTCAAAATTCCGATCAACAACAACACCTGGTCTAATCGAACAACGTCGACGCCTATTCGAAGATCAAGAACAAACCAATAAAGAATGGTCACCAACAAATCGTCGACCGGTAAGAATCAAGCACTACTATTTTCCTAATTTTTAAGATAATTCTTCAGTTAATATACTCAGCTTGCCCTGGGTCAATACTCGCTTATCTTTTCTTGAGTGTTTGTTTACGTCTGCGTAGATTTGCTTGTCCCCCTATTCTCTTATTATACTAATCGGTAAGGAAAGGAGTAAAATCAATTTACTTAAAAGATTATAAATCATCAATCGTCATCTCCTCCAACAAAATATTACATTGACAATTGTCACACCACAGAAACGAGTTCATCATAGACATCTCTGATGTCTTGAATGTATGCAATGTATGTATGTATTTCTAAACCACACTTATCTATTGATGATTTCTTTATTGTTTTTTACGTTTTGACAATGATCAAATCACTTCGTTTTTATCTCTGTGACTTAAGCACTTCGAACGAGAAGAACAAGAAAGAGAGTGGTTGTTCACGAGCTAATCCATGTTATACATACGACACCGGAGAGAAAGATTGAGTGAGCTTCACACACATACGTATGCAGACACATTTAATCACGACGAATATAATGAGAAAAGCGAAAAACAAATGATGCACGAGAAAGGAAAATGTCGAGTTTTCAGAGGAAAACTGTCTATCTTCCAGGTAGGTAATATCCATTCTCTCTCAAGTCCTTTGTGCATAGAAAAAAGTTCGCAAATTTTTTAAATACCTTCTGTATCTGATTAGGTTGATGAGTTTTCATCAAATGAACGTCGCATGAGTGAAACTCATACTGCACCGTCACGTGTTAGTGCGATTAAATCAACATTGGAATCATCAACAACTAAACAACCTGAACCTTTGCCCGTGACTCATACTAAAGTTGATGTAACAATCAAAGAGAAACGAACAATTTCTTCTGTTGATTCGGATGGTAGTGGGGCATCACCACCTATTCATCAAAGCACACCAAAAGTAACGAAACAAAGACTAGATGACGATGCTGGGCATGAAAGCGAAGATGAACTCAGTGATCTAACAAATAAACAAGAGCAACATCGTCGACAATCGAAAACACGTCTACGAGACTTCTCACAAAGCACTGCTCAAACAGTTGATTCGACATATCTTAATCAACGAACAAAACCGTCGTTCAATGAAACCAATATGGAAAGTATTCTTTCGCATGTACCGGCAAGTAAAGGTTAGTTTATATCTCTCTCGCAAAGATTCGTTAGGTTTTCGAATCAATTTCTTCTCTTATCATTAGGCAAAGGTCTCCTAATTGAACTTTCACCACATATCTCTCATGAATCACCAATCACAAGCACAACAACGACAAAAGCCGTTCGTGATACACATAAGTTGGTGACAGGTTCTGATTCGGGCATTTTTGAGTACTCAACAGCAACAAGTCAACAACCACCTGCAGCTTCTTCGTCATCATGGCGTAACAATGTTTCAGTCTCAGTCAATGATGATGCGAATCGTTCACAAACAGTTCGCGACAGTGGTGTCTATCTTGACTCAACAGCTACGACAGCTGGCAGTCAACGCTTTGGTCGACGACAACCTTCTGATACTGATCAAACAACAATTCACGGCGGAGATGATTCAGTTTCACGCTCAACATTCCGATATGAAACTGAAATCATTTCCACTGATCAGTTGAATCAACGTCAACCACCACCACCACGTAACGTTCGTCCAACAACTCGTTCACCAATACCAGATTACGAAACAATTGCTAACTACCATAGTGGAACGGGTTCTCAACGCCGAGTTCCAGTTACAACCGAATCGCGTACTATTCGACCAAAACCATTAATTGTCGATGAAATTGAAACGATAGAAACAGAAACACGTGTCGAATGTCAAGTACAACGTACACATGAAATCAAAGAGTCAACCACAAAAACCGAGCGATCAAGCAGTCCGGGGGCAGCGAAAAAGATCATTACTACAACAACAACTACGACAACAACAACTGCTGCACCCACGATCCGCTCACCAGAAAGTTTATCGGATGAAATCATCCGTACAACAACACCGTCAAAACGAGTCCTACTCAATGAACGACCTCAATATTATGATTCGAATAAAAACTATGGTATGATGATCTCTAAAAATGAAATAATATTCTTTACGGTTGCTTTATTTTAGATTCACCTATTGCTATTCGTTCACGACCTGAATCAACCTATACACCAACAAAAGAAGTTCGCCAACAAACTCAAACCTATCGTGAAAGTGGTATTCATGAACATCGTTTGGACTCTCCTCAGTCGGATGTTATCTCCTATCCCTTACCACCCTCGTCATTCATACAACAAGGCGAATCCGGACGTGTGGAAGAAACTTGGTTTAAACCAATTCAACATGATCGTTCACAGGATAGTCAACGTCAAAGTCCATCGTCTCGATCAAACATTCGTACATTGAGTGCTGGTCCACGTGCCGTTGAAGTAACCTCATTGAGTCCACAGAATCAAGTCACATTCGGTAAATACTCTCCAAATCAAATTATTGCCATTGTTCGTGTACCTGAACTGTCCAATGGCAACAATAATGCTCGACCTAGTCCACCGATACGACATGGAACAAGCGAACCTGAACTGTACGTGCGAGCCAAACAAGAAGCAGCAGAAGAACAGCAGCAACAACAGCAACGCTCACGTTTACAATATCAACGTGTTCAAGCAAGCAGTTATCGTCCACCATCGATCACTCAAGAATATCAACAAAGGCAAAGTCGATCACGCACTGGTAAGTTGACACAAAATAAGAAAAAAAAAGAAGAACGATGATTTGAAATTCTTTCCTCATAACTTACTTTCTTTATTTCACGTCGATTTTTGTTTCATTTGTAGCACGATCAGGTTCGCGTTTTATTTACTTGTGCTACCCTCTTGTTGGGTGCAAGCAAATATAAACACTTGTGTTCATTCTTCAAGCTTTTGCGTTTACTAATGACTTTGTTCTATCTATCTATCTATCTATCCTATGAAGAACTATTTATACATATACATTTTATGATATTTAAACAAAATATTTATTTTTTCAATTTGAGCTAATGTGTGTTTGCTTTTTGCAGGTCCGTATGAAATTACAAATGAATATTCATCTCCAGTAGGAGCCCATACACGTTCGTCATCATACCATTCAGCTTTACACGATCAAGACGGTCAACAGCAACAAGATCGCGATGAATACCCACATTCTTCTCAGTCCGGAGCAGCGTATCGTCGTCAAACACAACGTCGTAGTGGCAGTCTGGGTACTCTTCTCGGACCAAATATTGAATTTGAAATTGAGATCGAAAAACGTCCACCACAACAACCGGAACAACCAACTGTAGTTTCACTCGATCAACCTACACGAGCCATTGTCACCTCATCAAAAGATGGCCGAGTGTCTATTCGAAATGTCGCTGCACGTCCAGGAAATACACTTGTGATCAATAGTGATTTTCATGCATCCGATCGCTCATTGAATCGTTCATCTGGCTACTTTAGTTCGGAAGAATTGCGTTCCCAAGGTCTGAATACAAATTACTCGAGCGATGAACAATCAAGTGGTGCTGGTGCCAATCAGAATCAACATTCTCAATCATCCAACACACCATCGTCGATGCACACACGACGTTACAAAAACAATGAGCAAGGTTTTTCAAAGCTTCCATCACACTATCGTCCAAAACAACAGAATCATTATCAACAGTTAAATACTGAAAATTTCGATCAGGTTAATCGTATTGTTAATCGTTATTCACGACAATCAAATACCGCAGCTGGTTTCAACGACGCTATTGATCAAATCGATGCACTCTACAATAATCTTGATGTTCAAACCAATGAAGATTATATTATGGGAAGCAATCCAGCAACAACAACTCCTCCATCGACATACGATTTCTCCCAGCCAACATCCGTAACCAACCGTCGTAAATACTTATCACAAAATGCTAATGATTATTCGAAACGTTATTCCTCAACTGGCTTTCAACATGTTCCAGCTCAACACGAACAAGAGATCATCACAAGTAATACAAATTCACGTCATCTTGTTTCTCCGCCAACAACATTCAGTTCGGAAAAACGTCATTATGATACACATCGTGCACTGAGTGATAACGAAAACTTGAACAGTGTCAATGAACACAATCGTCGATGGGGTTCAACATCATTAAATGATCTTGTTATGGCAACACCAATACGACCTTCTCAATCATTATCATCATCAGGTATCTTAGCTGACTATGCTACACCTGGCTCTGTCAGTCCAAATTCCGGTTTTGGATCAACGCAAAATGTTATCCTGCAACAAAATCGTTTGAATGCACAATCACAAATCGTGCAACGTAATCGAACGTCAGTCAAACAAATGAAACAAAAGAGTGCAGCAAAGAAACGAACGGGAAGCAATCAGGGGTATGCCGAGAAAGCCACTTCATTCATTTCAATCGATTCATTTGCTTACTTTTTCTTCACAGGCAATATAGCGATGAAGAAGATGATAATGATTCTCTTGGTGATCATGATTCACCACTGTCGGATACTGGCCGTCCACAACCACCAACTCGATCATCTAATCGTCAACAATAAATCAGCAAACTAAAATCTGCAGTGGATGTCAGATTAATCTGTGTGAATGAACGTCAATTGAATGATTCTTCCGTGTGTGTGTGTGCGTGTATTTTGAACTCTATTTGTGCGAAGATTATTTGCTCCAGGTCGTCAACTAATTCGTTTTTCTCTCAGGAAAATTCTATTCGTTCCGATTAGAACACTCATTAGGTACAGCCAAAGACCGGAATGAATAAGCAACTGATGTTAGAATAGTTTTATTCATTATCTATCAATACCTGCTTATTCACTTATACGAGAGAAAAATCATTCACTAGATGCTATTGCTTCTTCTTCTTCTTCTTCTTTTTCTTTTACCTTTTTTATTATTACAAAAGAAAACACCGACAGTTGCTGCTGCGTTTTTTGAATCGTGTGAAATTTGTATGGTATGATTGTCTAATTTCCATTTTTGTGTTTATAAAATTACGTTTTTTTTGTTCTTTTTTCCTCTTTTTTTGTCTCATCTATTATTCATTCGTAATTCAACTATTTTTTTCTATCATAAATAAAAATTACACTTTTCAAATCTAGAACAATTCATTGTTTACTATTCTCTGTTTTCTCTGGCAAGGTTTCTCATTGGTAAGAATTCGATGGATTACAAGAAAATAAGCACAAAGATGGACTAGAATTATTCGACATTTATTAAACACGTTCGAATCCATTTCATAGTCAAGATGTCAAAGCACCTTTTCGATATGGATTGAATAACACAGACTGGGTTGATATAGTTCGTTCTAAATGATAGTTATGGAACCATCCACGAATATCTGACAATTGTTTAAAATCTCATCGGATATTGGAAGAAAATTAGTGGACAAACGAAGAATGAAAGGAATAATCATCAGAAATTCCTCGATTTCGTGACAGTTATATTGAATACACATGAATAATTCATCGATGAATGTATTTAAATATGATGATGAGACTAAACTAAGATCCGCATGTTTACGAACTTCATCCAAACGTGAAAGAACGAAACGACCATCATATAATTCAATTTAGATGTTTTAATGACATAACGATCGAGCGATTTGGAGTATAATTTAGTCGATCCTGAATGGATGTTTTTGAAAGAGTTGATATCATGCCGGTTAGTTATACTTCGCGAAAGAAAAAAAAAACTTATCGAAAATATAACAGAACCGAATGAAAGTGCATATTGTCAGCATGCTTCTCATACTTGTGACAGATGTTATTTTAATAAAATTCGTATTGAATATATTCGTCTGCTTTTTCGTACAGATGACTAGTTGGACTGCTGCTGACATCTTTTGAGTGATTTGTTCGTTGGTTAGAAAGTATTTACGATTTTTTACGATCCACATTTACCTCATTACCTTGGACTCGGAATAGTAATATTCTACAAGAATTCCTTTTTTCGAAGGCTTTAATTCTATCGAGAGTGATCTTTTTTATTCATTGTACAGGAATGTGATTGGCTCTATTTTCTAGAATAATATTATCTGCTTTTAGTGGCAGATGGATTTTGAAGCAGATGCGCTCATCGCACAAGCTGCTCGTAAAGAATCACCTGATACATTTGGTTTAATCACTTGTGCACTCTTTCATCAACCGAAACCAGCGCTGTTTGCTGATTTTTATCGTAAATTAACTGAAGAATTATACAATAGTTTTACCGACGACGAAAAACAATCCGTTTATCTTTATCCGATCGCGTACCTACACATCACCATTTCCACATTATATAATTTCAAACATTCGAAGCCTCAATTTCCTGAACGATGCTTAGAATATTGGAAGGAGCGATTCACCCAACTGAAACAAACGTCGAAAAACAAGCCGATTCGTCTCTCACTAGAGGCCATTCAACTTTCTAAAGCTGCTGGTTTCTTCTTGTATAAAGATGAACAACATGCAGTTGATGATCTTCGCCAATCGATTCGAACTATTTGCGTACCAGAAGAAGGACAACCGGCTTTGCACGTGCCAAATATTGTTCATACATCATTTTTACGTTTTATAAAGAAACCAGCCGATTCGGGTCAGTTTGAAGAAAAATTTCACCGTATTTGTAAAAAGAACTTTGAGCAAATAGGTGAGACTTTTTTAGAATTTGATGAAGTTTGTTTAGCATTTGAATCTCAACCGTATATGCATATCGAATGTGATGAATCTCATGTACTTGACGTAATGAAATGTTAAATTTTTCTTTCAGATTCTGTTTTTTTCCTAACGAAATGTCGACTGAATATAATGGAAAACAGAAAAATCTTGACGGTACGATTTCAATCGATCTAATGTATAAATGACACAATTTATTCTAGACGCTGACCTCGATGAATGTCAGCATGATAATCCAACATTCCGAATTTGTTGCATCGGTAAGATTAGATTATAATAGTTGCAAACAAGTCACTTTGTATTTGTGTTAGGTGCCGGATATGTTGGTGGTCCAACATGTGCCATCATTGCCAGTAAATGTCCACATATACAAGTGACAGTAGTTGATGTTAGTGCAGAGAGAATTGCTGCATGGAATTCTGATCATTTACCTTTGTTCGAAGTAAGTTTTATCATTGGTCTTTGACATAGTAACGTCGAAAACGATTTTGTTTAGCCGGGACTTGAAGGAATAGTTAAAAAGATTCGTAATCGTAATTTGTTCTTCTCAACTGATACGAAAACAGCCATTCGAGAAGCCGACCTAATCTTTATTAGTGTTAATACGCCAACAAAGTCCTATGGGTTTGGAAATGTAAGTACAATTGAACATACTCATCTTCTTTTTCGAATCATCTATCAAAAATATTAGATTATAGTGATAAAGGATTATAAAAAATAACAATAAGTATCACGTAGTGTCGCTGCTATACGATAACATTGTAGAGTTTGACATGAAATTTATTTTGCTGTATGACAGATGCTATTTTTGGTTGTTTTAAATCAAACTGATTAGTGTTTTTGGTGTTTGTAGGGACGAGCACCGGATTTACGTTATGTAGAAGAAGCTGCACGGCAGATTGCTCATACGGCGACTAGCAATAAAATCGTTGTAGAAAAATCAACAGTACCTGTCAAAGCAGCTGAATCAATAAAGACAATTTTAAAAACAAACAAGCAGCCTGGTGTCAGCTACCAAGTTCTATCGAATCCCGAATTCTTAGCTGAAGGCTCAGCAATCAATGATCTTCTAGCACCCGACCGTGTTTTGATCGGTGGCGATGAAACAATCGAAGGATCATTGGCGATCAAAAAATTAGCTTGGATCTATGAACATTGGGTACCGAAAGAGAGAATTCTTACAACGAATACATGGTCATCGGAGTTATCGAAATTAGTTAGTAATTCGATTATACTTTGTAGAACAAAACAATGAACTGAATTTATTTAGGTTGCTAACGCATTTTTAGCTCAACGCATCTCAAGTATCAATACAATATCTGCTGTCTGCGAAGCAACAGGTGCATCTGTAAGTGAAGTGGCCAAAGCAGTTGGTCTAGACTCACGTATTGGCAATAAATTTTTGAATGCTAGTATCGGTAAATTGATATTCTAGTGTCAGTTAACAAAATGTTCATCGATTGAATGTAATTGATAGGTTTTGGTGGTAGCTGTTTTCAGAAGGATGTTTACAATTTAATTTATCTTGCTGAATCTTTAAAATTAGAACCAGTCGCGCAATATTGGTTGCAAGTGATTAAAATAAATGATTGGCAACGCGAGCGATTTGCACAGATGATTGTGCAGAATTTATTCGGAAGTGTTACTGGCAAGAAAATCGCTATTCTGGGATTTGCGTTCAAAAAAGATACAGCTGATACACGGTAATTCTATCCAATAGAAGATTGAAAAAGTAATCTCAATTGCATTTTTTAGTGAATCTTCGAGTATTTATGTCTGTCGATATTTATTGGCTGAAGGTGCATCGTTGCATATCTATGACCCCAAAGTGCCAGTCAGTCGCATATTTCTTGACTTATCTGAACAAACTGGCAAAACAGAAGATGAATGTAAGTAACACGTAAATGATTGATCGAGTTGAGCTATTCGTTTTTTGTCTTAGTACGTGAACACGTTCAGATTGCCAACGATGCATATGAAGCCGCCAAAGATTCTCACGCGCTTGTGGTTTGTACTGAATGGGATGAATTTAAAGTAAATAATGTTAATTGAATAGTCTCCTTGTATAAATAATCAATCTTTATTATTCAGCAATTAGATTATCAATTGATCTATAGTACAATGAAAAAGCCATCATTTATATTTGATGGTCGTCTCATTCTTGATCACGATCAATTACTGAGTTTTGGATTCAATGTCTTTTGCATTGGGAAGAAACCACCGAATAATCAATATATGAATCAAAGTCCTCGATAAAAAGTCTTCTTCTTTTTCTCCATCACTATTTTATTTGGACATGACAACGAACGTCAATAATACTTAGATAATCGCAAAGCATTATTGTGATTTGAAGTTATGGTCGCTTTTCTCGCATATCTCACGATTATACTGTTTTTTTTCATTAATTGACATGTTTATATGTTATCATATATATATATAATAAATTTGTCTTTTATATTTGAGCGAGTAATTTTTTGCGTACTAATAAAAACGAGCTTCTTTTCTATTTCTACTTAAAATTTCATTTTGATTTTGTTTTCAAGATTGATATACTTTTGAAGGCAAACAATGAGTGGTGCTCGGAAGAAACCATTTAGTTCAAAGAAGAAAAAGGAACAATTGAAATTAAAAAGAGAAAAAATTCGAGCGCAAGGTAACATGGATTATTTTTTTGAACGATCTAATCATTGAAGTGTTACTCTCTAGGCGATAAATGGGCGGATTCGGACGAAGACTCAGGAACTATCGATATCAATACAACACAAGGTTCCCGTCGGCGAATAAATGAACAACCTGTTCGAGATGCGGCGACACACAATCCAAATCGGTAATATCCTACTGTTCTTTGTATGGCTTAGCGGATTCTGTTTTAGATATCGACTTCATTTTCAACGTGAATCACGTGATGAAATCGAACGACGGAAAAAAGTTGCACAATTACCGATTAAGAAACTTTCCGAAGAGTCGCTAGAAATTCCTATCGAACAAATCTATCGACCTGGTAGTGCGCTCGATATGCCTGTACGACCGCCATGGACATACGAAATGACCAAGGAACAGTTAGAAGAACAAGAACAGACTTATTTCAATGTAAGGAGAAAATCAAAGCTTCATCATTAATGTATATGTGTACGTTTAGGGCTATCTGGAAAAGATCTTCGCAAGTTTTGAGCCAGGCGATCTGAGTTACTTTGAGATGAATTTAGAAACATGGCGGCAATTATGGCGAACAGTTGAGATTTGTGATATTATCCTAATGATTGTTGATATTCGTTTTGCTGTAAGAAAAATATCACCTTTTATTTCGTCTCTATTTCAGCATTTCTTCTCTCTTTTAGGTTCTTCATTTTTCCCCAGCGCTCTACGATTATGTCACACGTATTCATAACAAACAGTTGATTGTCATTCTGAATAAAATCGATCTCGCACCACCATCTGTTGTCGTTGCTGTAAAAGACTATTTCTCAAAGAAGTTTCCTCAATTACACATTCTTACATATACATCTTATCCAAAAGATCTAGCAACAACACGTGAAGATTTTGATAATTATCAAGTTATGGCACGAATCGTTCGTCGAAAAAATTATTATGCTATTGGGCCATTATCACTATATGAATGTATTTCATCGATAGTTGGCTCACGAATTGATCTGTCGTCGTGGAAAAAACATATTCAAGAGTGTATGGAAGATGAAACAATTACTACTGATCTTAAACAGGAACAGATCGTCGATGTTTCACCACTAACACAGACAAAGAAAATGAATAGTTATATCACATTAGGTTTTACAGGATATCCGAATGTCGGTAAATCTTCAATTTTGAATAGTATTGTTGGTCATAAAGTAGTCAGCGTATCACGTACTCCGGGACATACAAAACATTTTCAAACGATACATTTAACACCTACTGTTCATCTATGCGATTGTCCAGGTTTAGTTTTCCCTTCGTATGTCGAACGGCCGTTACAAGTAAGTACTAGGTTAGATGTTCTTGTCATCTGAAGTATCTTTTTCAAAGATTTTAGCTGGAATTTATCCAATAGCGCAAGTACAAGAGCCATACACAGCTGTCGGATATCTTGCTCAATGGTTACCACTGACGAAAATTTTGAAAATAGAAAGATTAGAACAGGATATACCAAATTACAGTGCATTCGATATTTGTGAGGGTAAGCTCTTCAAACTATCTTATTTCACTAGCAAGTAGATATATGCATATTGGTATGATTTTTAGCATGGGCTTTAAAACGTGGATTTCTTACAGCCAAAGCATCGCGTCCTGATATCTACCGAGCTGCTAATCATATTCTTCGGTTAGCACTCGATGGACGAATCAATTTATGTCTTCGTCCACCTGGTTTTACTGCTGAGAAAGGCATGTTCATCTGCTTGATCGTCTGTTTTCTGTTACCATTCCATGTTGTTTTAGACCGATATATATCGGATCCTCGAGCACTTGAACTTGAGCAGCAGATTCAGTCGGCTGTTGATAAACAAAAACGTCCTGAAAGTGATATATCGGCTGGTGATGATAGTGAAGCATTCCCCGCGAGTGATGATCATCAGTTAGCATCGTGTAGTGCGTCTACAAGTGACCAAGGACCTGATAGAGTTGAAGAATTCAACAGATTCGATGTTTTCAATCGTGATAACGAAGATAGAGACACCATAAAGTCAATGAAGCATGTTCGCCGACGAACACGACGAAAATCGAGTAACAGCAATCAACATGAAAACGATGATAACGAAGAAGGAGAAGTGGATTAGACAGGAGACATTCAATAATTGTTGTCTTTCATTCAATAAACATTTTTAGTGTTAACAGTTAGGTTTTCCTCGGATAATTGAACAGTTTAAATGTATAAAATTAACTAGTGATACTCGATTGAAAATTTCTTTTTTATATCTCGATGAAGAATATCTTTCCGAGAATACGAGAAGAGGAAAGGTTAAGATGAATTTTTTTCCGTAGTTATAACCAAGCAGAGAAATATCGCTACATCGTGAATCTTCCATGTTTCTTTTATTTTTCTGTAACTATATTTCTTCCTTTATTCGGACGATAAAAAAAAAACTTTCCTGCTGTTAAAAAAAAAACTAAAATGAATGAATCGATAAATATATTATATTCATATAGTTCTTTTTTTTTGTTCTCATATTAAGATGTACATATTTATTTATTCAGATTTTCTAACAAAGTAAAATAAAACAAAACTATGGATGAAGAAGTTCTCCGACAACTTCTAACATCGCAAGATGGTCTCGAATTCTCTCCAACTGCTGAAATGATGATGATGAATTCAGCAATAGCCGGATCAGTGAACGAAAATGATTCCATCGATCCTGAATTAATTGAAACTATCCAACAGCAAGTAATACGTGTTAATCCACCGGTGACGACTTCGACTGTAGCACGCATTAACAACAACGACGATGATGATGATGATGACGATTTACTAGAAGATGAAACCGTACTTGAACGTATCATTGCATTGAAAGAAATGTTTCCAGAAAGTGTTCAAAATACAGTTGGAAAAGTAAATAGTGCAGTTGTCAATACAACAAAATTTGCCTACAGCAAAGGTCGTACAGCAGCTTGGTGGTAAGTTTCATTGAGTACTGTTTTATCTGTTCTATAACACTATTTTTTGGTCGCATCTAGGATTACTTCAACAATGTGTGTCCTCGTTTTTCCAATTCTCATCCAAAAAGAATTGTTACAAGTTGCCGAACAAATTAGTCGCGAACAACGATCGATTCTTCTCGGTCCACAAGCCGCAGCCGGTGCTGTTGGTAGTGGTGCGTTCTAGAAACAATTCTCCGAGTTTTCTTCGTTTTTTGCACTTATGTTTCATGTTGATTATTTGTATTCAACAGACTTAACATTAAGATCAATCAAAAGCAGCATTCTCTAATAAAAAAAATCTATAAAACATAGGATAACATTACATTCTACTCACTTCATTTGAAACCGAGATAAATAGTGAAAATGACTATGAATATTATAATAATACAACACATAGTAGAAACAGAATCTTCAGCCAATGGTCTACGATTTATTATACCAAGAAACTCTGCCACTTATGAAACAGTCTTTTTCGCTAGAGCAATCGGTTCAGTCAAATCTTTCTTTACAATACATTGTAGTGCATCACTCTTCTATATATGGATGTCAGCGCTCTCGAGCAGAATAACAAATGAACCGCTCAATTTGAAAAACACGATACAAATTCTTGTAATATAATCTTTTCCCAAGAGATCCGTCTGTTCTGAGTGAGACAATTCGTCTCAATGTGATGCATTAGCTAAGTCCATAAAATCCGACACTAGTACTGGCTGTTCCAGAGCATTTCAGTAATATTTTCAATTGGAAATCGTTTTACCATGTTATGAGTACATTTTAAACCAAGGAGGAAGTGTTCCCAATCGTTTCCGATGTGTGTTTGAATTCTGTTGACAGTACGTTAGATCTTGATAAGTCTGATTCTAGTAATGTGCTCATCGCTAGTATAACCCAGTTGTGCAGTAAGTGTTAACGTTGTTGAAATTAGATTATTGTTGGGTTGAGAATCTTTTACTTCTCCCATTTAGTGTGAAGCGAAATAGATCGTTTTCTTTTGCTTTAGTAGAATTCAGTGGGGGCAATCGGTGATATTTCTAAAATCGAAGCGAAGATTTTGTTCTTTCTATATAAGATAAGACATAAATCAGATTGTTGACTGCAAATTCCATACAATCGATCAATGAGCACAGTTTTATAAATCCGTGCGACCGCTTTTCACTATTTCCAATAGTGTGTTAGTTGAGAGCACATGGATCGTGGAATTCAATATTAAATGACGATTTTTTATTGAACATTTTACCTACGATTTCACAGTATGTAGGTAGAGACAGCATAAGCATTCAATCCTCTCTTCTAAAATTCAATTTTTTACTATCAACAAAAACTGTGCTTGATTAGGAATAATAAACATATTGTGTTCTGAATATTCAGGGAAAAAATTGTTTTTCGGACCCAAATCAGATCTAGTATTAATCAACTTCAACTAACGCCGTATCGTTTCCCACTATTCTTAGCTAGCTAGAATCATTTCGAAAATATCGAGAAGCATTCGGTGTATCATCAAAGATTGTACTTTATTCGTTGAAAATCAAGACGAAGTAAAATTTAGAAAAAGAAACACTATCCGAAAAACTCAAGTTCAATTGTCACTATGTAGGTATTAAATATTTGCTCATAGCAAATCGAGTTCGTGTATCATCTTGTTCCATATTTCGATATGCTATTAGTATATCCATTTGTTCATTAATAGCTAACCGATCAATGATACACTTATTTTCTCCAAGCTCAATTCCATTGAATGCAATTTCTTCCATGTAGTCTTTTCCAATCCACATGAATAATCTTCGATTAATGCTGTGAAAACATAAAAATATCGTTTCATCATTGTAAATAATTACATCGAGAATGTCTTTGATATTTTGTCCCGTGTAGCATGAATAAGTATCGATAATATCAAGAGTATTAAAATCATAAATAAAACAGATTAATTTATTATCGTTATTTGATTTCAAGCCACAGATAAGTAACTTTTGTTTATTTGATAATAGACGAATATGAATGGATGATAGTTGTAAATCGTAGCCAAGAAAATTGTCTTTTTTTCTTTCGTGTACTGCTAAACCAAAGACGAGATTTATTTGTTTGATTGTTACTGAATCAAGTCTGTAATTGTATATTATAGTTATTTGCTCGTCACGATCAGAATAAGTAATAAGATCTGTTTTATTCTTTTGTTTGAGTTCTTGGTCGAATCGTTTCGGAAAATTAAAAAGAACTTCTGTAGTGTCCTCTTTGACAAATTGTTTATTGAGATAACAATATGAATAGAGTGAACAAGTGAATTGTTTCATTTGTTGAGGAATAAACGAGCCAAAAAGACGTAAAAATGTCGAATCAGATTGTTCGTAAGACACTTGATATCCAATGACTGGTTTCGAATAAGGTTTATTGTGTACAGGAAGAAAATCAAGATACACATGTTCAACATGTTGAGCAATAGGATCATTGACTGTTGGAAGAACTTCAAATGGTAAAACGATTTTCATCGTCGACTTTGAGTCTAAATTATAACAAATGATATGTTATAGTTTATCTATTTATGAAAATTAGTTATGAAATAGAGTATTGTTAGAATGTATATATATAGGAAATATGAGACTCGCTGTTAAACGATCGATAGAAAAGGAAACTTTCGAAAATCTACTCACTTGACATAGGTTCAAATCGTAGACCATTAAGTAAAAACCCTTGTCTTGGTCTTGGTGGTCTTTCATGTAAAATTTCTGTCAGTTGATCTTTAGCTTGTTTCTCATATAATACAACATGTATATCGTGTGCATGATTGACTAAAGTTTGAATCAATTTGTCGAGTTCGTTGACTTTTTCTTCCTGTTTTTGTAATTGATCGAAAATAAGAAATAGACGTGGATCACGATCAAGAATTTTACTTATATAGTCAATAGCTTCATTTAATTCTCGGTGTAACGATTTTAACTTATTTACATAGAGTCGTTCTAATTGGTAGCGATAGTCTTGTGCAACTTGCGAAAGAAGTTTTATGGTATGATATTGTTGTCGATGATGAGATGTATGTTCATCAATAAGACATTCCGAACATAGACATTCTGAACATTTGACACAGTAGAACTCTAATAACCGTTTGCTATGTCGTTGTGAGCAAAGAAGAGAAATACTTTCATCGAATTCAATTGGAGCTTTGGGTAAAAGACGAATTTCAGCAAATGTTCGAGTAACATGTGCAGGTATTGTATGAAAATGTGCATGATACCCATAGCATGTTTGACAATAATTCTCCTGACATTGGAAACATCGACCATGAAGATTGGCAGATTCGTTCTGACACAACGAACATAGACCTGCAACGTCAGTATTTCGACAAAGACAAGAATAATATACAAATGTTTCTCTTACCAATATGTTTTGATTCAACTTCTTGCTCATGTCGATAAATTTTTATGAGTTGTTCTTTATCGATTGCTGGCGGAAGACAGCTAGCATCTCCATTCGGTAAATGAATCGAGGGTGCTCGACATTGAGGACCTGGTAAATAAGAGAAAACACGTATATCCTTGATCGATTGAATGTTATAGGAAATCTTACAAGTAGCAATATCCGACTCATTCTTGCATGAATGATGATATTCTTCTAGGCAACGACGGCAAGCAACATGTAAACATGATGTTCGTTTTGGTTCTTCGAAAATATCCAAACAAATGGCACATGTAATTTCGTCTAGTAAGGACGATGATAAGATTTGGTTTTCGTTTTTTTCATTTGCATTTGTATCAAGTGGAACGTTATCAAATTCCATCATGATTATTGATAAAATGGTCTGTTAAAAGCAAGATTTCAATACGTAACGCATTGATCATGGAGAAGAAAATCAAGCAAATAAAATGTCGACCAATAACAAATAGAGTAAATGTAGACGGCGCTATCAACAAATGAATGAGAACAACTTTTGCATTTACCCGCAAGTACTGACTCGATATATAAGAAGTTGTTGAATAGGAAATGGTTGATGAACTTCCAATAATTCTCATATAATATCTGTGCATCAAAGCGTTGCAATTCATTTTCTTTATACAAGGTAAAAGATTTATTAAAACGTCACATTCAAAGCGGAAAACATTCAGCATGTATATGAAACGAGTTTACAACTAAAATACGATTCTGGATTATAATTATATGCTAGGAAAAATGCTACTGTAAAGTTTATAAAGAAAATTTAAGAATCCAAAGATATTATTTGTTTTATAGTTATTTGTTGTAATAATAAAATAATATCTTCACTAATTTTTAGAAAGTCGACGTCATTTTTGCGACTTCCTTCTTTGTAGCATATGCCAAGTAAATCATTGAAATGTTTGTGCATCAAGGTATCGTTGCTTTCATTCCAAGACAACAAAGCGTATGCGTATTTATCACCTGTGCTGACAGCTTGCCGACTTAATACGAGTTTCCAGTTGTCTCCCCGTAAAGGTTGTCCCAATATCGGCTTGCACCATCTTGACTCTTGAACGCATCGACTTAGAACCATAGCCCACTGTGAATGTTTCTTTCGTTCCATAAAGTTCTGTAGTACTTCAATGAAAATGCAAAGACTCGCATTAATGTGCGCTCTTGTAGTTGAGTTATCGGATGATCGAAATTCGACATCATTACTATTTAACCTTAAATAACGTTTCTTAAATAGTGAATCGAATTGGGTCTTCATCGCGGAACCAAGTAAACCTGATGATAACGGAGAGGACGATGTTTGATTCATCCGATATTGTAGAAGAGAACTCGCAAATATCCACGGTAAGCTCAATATAGGTATCTCTTCTTGACTTCGTTTGTTATCATAACATACACAGTAACATGCCACAGTCATCGACTCATGTACTTTTGAACATATACGACACATATCAGACACAGCTGTATCCTCATTACATCCGGCATTTTCACAGTATCCGACTTGTTCTGTATGAAACCGAGTTCTCGTCCGTGAAACCAACCGTTCAAGCTCCGTGTAAGCAGTATCTTCAAGTTCTCCAGACATATTGTTGATCGAGTTCCGACACCATAAGTCACTTTCGTGCGAGAGACCATATAAGCTCAGAATCTCGAACATTTCTTGTCGATATACCAATGTTAAATTCTTGGCAAATTCCATACGAGTCGAAAAGTCGGGGTGATTACGAACAATTCCACTCACTATAGATTCATCAATTTGAATATTAC